TAAAACACAAATTTGAAGTGCAAATACATTTGAAAAACTGTTTATCACATAATGTTATTAAATGTTTGCAAGCATACTATAGTTTTCATGCATTTTGAGAACAAATAATCTAATATGTGCACATACATATCGTCGTTTACAGTACAAAACCGCGTATCGTCATTCTGCAAAACCTCGTAAGTGACATTTGCTGCCAAAAATTGGATTTGCTCACAAAAGCTCCTGGCTCAATTCTTATCCATTCGTCCTGAAATATACTAGCCAGAAATACGTTTGCTTCATAAAAAAGAGAACCATTTTGAAATATGGGTGATTATACTCTCTAGAAAATAATGTATGCAATTACGCGGTTTTGCATTTTCTTGATGCGCGGTTTTGTACTTTAAACGACGATATGTATAGCATGTACTTACGGCGGCCGCCGTAGCAGAGTGATTACATGTGTGTACTTCCACTCCATAGGACCATGGTTAAATACCTGGTCAGATCATAACCCAAAACAGCAGTCGTCCTTCGGCATGCAATGGCAAACCTTCGAGTATATTTCTGCCTTGAAAACTCTTCTTATAAAATCATTTGGTGATCTGAGTGAGCCTTAAATATGTACATAGGTGTCTCCATTTGTGCCACAACATCAGAACTCATGCCTCAAGTTTGAGCAGAAGCTCGGCCAAACACTTAGTTTTTTGAAAACTTATACGGTTGACAAACTGACTCGATTATTTGCATAAACAGCGTTTATTTGCTTTGACAAATGCATTTTCCTCTTTAAAATGCGCATAAGCAGCCGAACAAATGCACGAAATTTTTGGGAATTAACTCGGATCCGGGGTATTTCCGATGACAATATTCTCCTGGCCGTGGGGCTCGAACCCACGACCTTTGGGCTCGTCTATCCGCATTACTGCTGCCTGTAAGGGTAAAATTATTATGCGCATATGTGTGCCAGATTATATGCTAAAGCTTTGCCGTCTCTCACAGCTTTTAGATTCTTTAAACCGTTTCGAAGTGGAAAGATAAATCGTTTTTTAATTCCGCAATGCTGTTAAACGAAAAATGTACTAATGAGTAAAACTACTTCCGAAATAAGCATTCTACCGGGAAAATGCAGCTATACAAAAACAGCTAAGCGAATAGGCAGCTAAACGGAATGTAACGTGTAGTAGACTAATATTGGTTTAAAAATTCTATCGTTCTAATATTAATAATGGAACAAAACAAAAAATGATGATCAGTATATAGTAGTTGAACCACGATAAATCTAAAAGTGTGACTCATAAGGATGCCTTAATTTAGACAGAATGAAAATAGTTCGTCGGGTGCTCTGCTAGTTTATATATGTTTAAAATGGTTCATTAGCAAAAAAGTGGTTTTTAATCAAATATTAGGAAAATGGGCGTGGCACCGCACACTTATATCGTATAGGTACCTCAAAAACTACTTCGCCGATATCTATCAAATTTGAAATACAAAGTGTCACCATTGATGAATTCTTTAGTACACTGGTCAAATCATCCATTACATACCCTCATACTAATTCAAGGCCGCATTTCTCCTTAGATTACTTAACTTCGACAATTTTTATGAAATTGCACTACAAATTTATTCGAAAATAAATGTACTTTTAGATAGATCCTAAATGTTGCGCAGCTTCTTTAGAATTTTTTGAAATTAGCGATGGTGTAATTTGAAAAAGTGGAAAAATAGGGGGTTTTTAAATTTTAAAAAGCTCCCAAACAAACTAAGTCTACCAATATATTGTTATACATAATTTTAACCCTTACCCTTTTACCTGCATTTGTACAATATATTGTACGTTTAATTTTTTGTAACATTGGAAGCGTGCTACTAAAAATCGTGTTAATATTTTTGAAAACAAATTAAACTTTATAAAGTTTAGGAATATCCCGACTAGTTTACGTAAATTTCAAAATCGAAAACGTTCCAAAAATATTTTGAGAATTTAATTAAAAAATAGATCATTTTATTATATTCCAGAGACACGCAAGTTGTGATAATGTACTGCACAAAAAATACGTGAAAGTCAAGTAAAATCGCTAATAAAAGCACATAGTATGGAAATATAAAAAAGCATTTCATCATATAAAAATGCTAAAATTAAACTATCATGATTTAAAATATTTTTCCCGAGTGGTCAAAAAAAAAAAGTACAATAAGGCTATTCGCGATTCGGTGCAAATGGCCTAGCATCATTGCATTGCAAATTTGTATTGCAAATTATTTGCAATACACAAACAAAATACACGCATTTGCATTTGTCATGGCTTGGCAAATTTGCAATACCGAAAATCCATAGCATAAAAATGCTATGCATTGCATTCATAAACAAAACCAAAGCTGATGCACAAAAATTGTTTTGCAAAAGCTTTACCATGACAGTTTAATAAAGGTCGCTCACAATCCATGGCATATTTCTGCAATTGCATAAATTTGTCTGCTCTTATGCACCGAATCGCGAATAGCCCTAATATATGGTACATTTACACTGAAAGGTTGTAAGTGTATTGTACAATATATTATACAATCGCCCGCAAAGGTTGTAGTTAAACAGGCAATTAGGGCGGTTTTTGCTGTGGTTTTTGAAGAGCTTACGCGCTGTTGTTGCAGTAAAGGGTAGGTTTTTCATTTCGTGATCTACTGAAGGCAGAAAAACCGGGAATGTTTTAATAAACCTAAATAATAACCGAGTCATTTGTATTTTATATTGTAATTGTATCTGAAATGTTTCAAAATTTTTCAGGAACTATAAGAGACTTATTATCATATTGTACTCGACCCTATCTGCAACGTACCCTAGGTTTTGTTTCGGGTGTATTTCCTGGTTTTTTTTTGTTTATCTCCGTGTAATTTATCTGCAACTTTTTCCAAAATTGAAATTTTATATTTAAATTTTTTTCAGAAGCCGTTGCGGAAATCGTAGGAGCACCGGACTTGCACATCAACGAAGGATCTTCTTTGCGCTTGGACTGTAGATTAAGAAAAGCAACAGAAAATCCTGCTTTTGTTTTTTGGTAAGTTCAGAGAGGGAAATAATGCATAGTAAAAATTAATACCTTATATTTGATTACCGTTTAAAAATGTTCGTATTTACAAATAATATTTTCTTGCAAATATTTATTACCAACGTATTTGACTGTTCACATCTGAGTATGTATATGTACGTGTACATCCCTGTAGTTCTGCTGGAGTTTTGCAGGTGACTGGTGCTGGTGATTCCATGCGTCACCGATTGTTAGGCAATTCGCTAGCGACAGGTTATGCGACGCTCATATTGAAAATATCACATACTAGCGATTTTGTGCATTACTGGTCGTTAGGCAATGCGCTAGCGATTAGTAATCGCCACTTCTGTACTAGGTAATCGCTAGCGAAAGGACAAATCACGCGCACCAATTCCTTTGCCTAACGAATTTAACATGGCAAAGTCATTGAAGCGTACCGAGCGGTGCAAAAGTGGCGATTACTAATCGCTAGCGCATTGCCTAACGACGAGTAACGCAAAAAAACGGTGGTATGTGATATTTTCAATACGAGCGTCGTATAACCTGCCGCTAGCGAATTGCCTAACAATCGGTGATGCATGGAATCACCAATCACCAGCAAAACTCCAGTAGACCTACAGGGATACGCATCCCCAGCATGCAGAGCGGTGACAACACACACATAAATACATAGTACATGTTTATCCGTACAAATCGCGTGCTGTGGTGTTGATGGAAATTCAACATTTGAAAACACATTTATATGTGTGGCTTTAGATGATTGCGCAAAGATGCTTGGCACAATTTGTTGATATCCAGAGAGGGTCAGGGTTTGAATACCACTGCAGGCAACATGCAAATTAAATTTTATTTTATTTTTATCTTGATTCTTCACTTCACGGATGCTTTTTCAGAACGAACGCGGTAATTTTAATATGCGCGTGATTGAATTGAATATTTACCAATACACAGTACTTTCGTTGACGTGTATAGTAAGATGAATTACGTTACTATTTGATTTTAATATTTTTTTCCCTCAGTGTAGAGTCCCAGAGCTTACAGACGGCAAATAGTCTGGAACGATATACCTAGGGCAACTAGTAGGGTTGCCAGATCTAAAATACCGAATTAGGGGGCTTGGGGTACAGCCGAGAAAGAAAAAGGGGTATTTTACGAGGGACAAATAAAACTAAATTTATTCAACAAAAAATCGATTCATTCGCTTATGGAATAATAAAATGGTTCATAAATAAAAATTCAATATCATTTGAGCAAAACAAAGTTACACTAGCTATCCAAATTGAGCGCAGGGTGATTTTATTTTAAATATTTACAAAGGTTTTCAAGTTAAGTTTTAGTTATTTTTTATAAAAATTTCCTTCATGCTTTAACCAAAACCATAAAATTAATTCAAACTTTCAAACTTAGTACCAACTCTAGAAAAATGCAACAAATTTCCATAAAAATGTTGACTTTTTAATCTGAATTTATGGATATGCAGTAACATGGCTCATGAAATTTTACTCAAATAAGTGCAAGTGTTAACGCGCGAGGGTCAAATTGTTAAGTCAAAAATTGTCAATCACTTGTGCTTGCAGGGTCCTGGTGGTTGTATTTGCTAAAAGTCATTTTTTCTTTTAGTTGCGCTTTTGCACATTTTACGAACTTTCTTTTTACTTTGATCATTGACGAAGAAGGCAGCATAACCCCACAAGCGCAAGCACAAGTGTAAGAACCACATGTAAATTCAATTTGGTATTTTCTACTAAGCTTATTTTAATTGTTTAGATTTCAGCATCCATTCATTTTCGTTCATTGCGAAATATATTATTTGAATAAACGCTTAAAGTATGTGGTCGCAAAGTCAGGCTTTCCTTCTCCAGTCAACAAAATAAAATACTTTTGCGTGTAACCTCAAATTGTACAAACAACCAATATGAGCAGCGAGGAAAATACGATGCCCGATACATGTGCCGCACCATCATCCAGCGCATCGACCATAATAAGTGCAACCGCATCACCAGTCGCACCTCATCCACTTCAAGAATTCGCGACCATCGAAGCATCTTCACAAACCTGGACAACCGCGCTAATTGATAGGGAATCTCGAATCGTCGGTGCTGCTATAGCATTAGGTACCACTCATATAGGTGAGCATTCACAGATGGCACCTTTGACCAGCACAACCGTCGAATCCTCTACATCCGCAGGTACAGCCTTATCGGATTTGCAGACACATGTGAACTTCTGGGCTCCAATTTTGTCACCGCCCACACGTGTTGAGGTCCCAACATAAAAATACGACGCAACGCCGTACATTCGGCAAGCGCCTTTGATGACATGTATAAAGTCTGGCACTCGTACATGGTAACAGAACCTCAGCGATGAACTTACACCCCTCCACGGCGCTGTACAGCGGTGTAAATTATTTGGTGGTCACCCACGCAGATTTTCTGACCAAAACAATCTTATTCGGTTACTTGAATTCGGCTGGAAAGGTGCTGCACTCGAGTCAGTCCGGGGAAAATTATTGACGCCTGCCACGGCAAACTTGGCTATTGCAACTCTGCTTATGCTCTTCGGCCGACCAGATACGATTCACGAAACGCTCCTACGTTAGATAGGAGAGGTGCCTTCTGTAGAGAGCGTGATTGAATTTGGTCTGGCTGTACAAAATTATAGGGCGACGATGCAATTTTTGGGTCTCGATGGCCATTTTAACGCTGCTATGCTACTCAACGAACTCCTGAGTAAACTTCCAGGTTAAATGTTGCTACAATGGGGTAGACGTCGTTTAAGTCTTGCACGCGTGATATTATTTCGTTTGATTAGTGGCTCTTCGGACTGGCATCCTGTGCCAGTCAGGTTATTCCTGTTAACAGCGTTCCGTCAGAGGTGAAGGCAGGACATAAAGTGCTTCGGAACGGCTACTCGTCCACGACGCATGCTCATTTCTGCGAATCGTGCGCATGTGTGGAGGAGTATGCTTTTTTTGTTTTGTAAATTTCAAGACCCTACCCGCTAATTTTATTAATTTTTATGAAATGCGTATTTGTATAGATTTTTTAAATGGCAATTTTTATTCGATTTCAAAGATCGAATATGATCGACGATATGACGATAAATAGACCTTTAAAATGGTATATAAAAACCTATAGTCGGACTTGACTTGTTGGAATTTTTTATTGGGTGAAATAAAAAAACGTAAATTTCTCTTAATTTTTTTAAATTTTGACCATCGATAATTTCCATAATTTCAAAATATATAGTACTGTCTAAAATAATATCTATTTGTATATAAACTGATAGCACATTTATTGCAGTCGCATAAAAATTTTCAATTTTAGGCGATTTTTCTTAAACACGGCCTTGAATTTATATATTATCAAGAATAGTTATTCAGAAACTCATAAATCTACAAAATCTGACCTAAATCGACAGGTCGCGACCCTCAAAAAAATATATAAAAACAGATAACAATATTTCTCGCAAAAACGAATAAAATTAAGGGGTATTTATGGCAAACCTGGTCTAGATATCAATCTCGTCGTAGGTATCATATCAAAGATATACGATTAGAAAAACTCTAGAGGTAGAAGTCGCCCCGCCAGAAGAAGTTAAATATTACGCGTAAAAATATGCACTCCATATGCTACAGCGGAAATGGACGACACGCCATTTCTTTAAATGAAATTAATTCCTGCTATATGTATGTGTGTACATATGTTTGTATATACTAAACGTGAGTAAACAATATTTTGCTTGCATATTCTTCTGTTCTCTTTTCACTGCAAGTAGAGTTATTTTAATATCTATTGCAAAATTTTATAGAGCCAAGTCTAAAGAGTAGAACAGTGATTCCCAAAAAGGTCCAGGTGGACCCCCAGGGGTCCACGGAAGACTCGACGGGGGTCCACGGTGACTTGAAAAAAATATGGGGGTCCATGAGTTGTAAATGGGGGTCCACGAAGATTAATCTGGCTTCGATGTAAAGAACCAAAATGGTTGCTTGATAGCCTCTTTATTTAACTTAAATTTTTTCGAGTGGTGACGCACTGCTGCACTTACCGTCACTTTGTGTTTTCATACGTGGGGAAGCCTTAAATGCCACCTGCAGACTAAAAAGAACCGGATGCTGGTATGGCAAAGCACTTGTGTCTTTTCAATGCTACAGGATAGTACGCCCCCATTACCTTTGTTGAAGAGATTCTATAATGTTGAGTTCCCTGATACTGCNGTATATACTAAACGTGAGTAAACAATATTTTGCTTGCATATTCTTCTGTTCTCTTTTCACTGCAAGTAGAGTTATTTTAATATCTATTGCAAAATTTTATAGAGCCAAGTCTAAAGAGTAGAACAGTGATTCCCAAAAAGGTCCAGGTGGACCCCCAGGGGTCCACGGAAGACTCGACGGGGGTCCACGGTGACTTGAAAAAAATATGGGGGTCCATGAGTTGTAAATGGGGGTCCACGAAGATTAATCTGGCTTCGATGTAAAGAACCAAAATGGTTGCTTGATAGCCTCTTTATTTAACTTAAATTTTTTCGAGTGGTGACGCACTGCTGCACTTACCGTCACTTTGTGTTTTCATACGTGGGGAAGCCTTAAATGCCACCTGCAGACTAAAAAGAACCGGATGCTGGTATGGCAAAGCACTTGTGTCTTTTCAATGCTACAGGATAGTACGCCCCCATTACCTTTGTTGAAGAGATTCTATAATGTTGAGTTCCCTGATACTGCATGCTGGTTTGATTCCATCGCTGAGACCGGACTCACACATTGTCGAATCTTCACTGATGGCTCCAAAACTGACTCTGGGTCATGATCTGGGGTCTTTTTCGAGGTTAATGGAGATAAGTTTCACTTTTCTGTAGGGGAATATGCATCGGTCTTCCAGGCGAAGGTAATTGCAAAACTCAAAGCCATGGATAGGGTTGCCAACCGTACTATAATATATAGTATTGTACTATTTTTCCGGTCGGCGTACTATATACTGTTGGAAAAAATATAGTACGCAAAAATACTA